CTGTCCCTGCATCTCCTAGAACCCCACGACAGCAGTCAGACAAGGGGATGAGGAGGTGTGTTTTAGCACTGCTTTTATTTCCCTCTCATGTTTCATCTTGTTCCTCCTGCAAGGCGGGGAGGCGCCGCAAAGCTGGTGTCTGCCTGGAGCAGGTGTTTGGAGATCACTCAGGAGTCAAATGTGAGAAGTTGAACTTCCCAGGTGCTAGTCTGTGCTGGAAACCCATTTACCCCTGGAAAGCTTCTGGAGTTGATGCTAGTCAGGAAAATGAAAAAAAAAAGCCACAGATAGGATAGCAGAAGGACTTCTCTCCAGGTTCTTAACCCACACAACACGCACTCCTTCCTTCCCAGGTACTGCTCTTCCCACCGTGGGCTCAGAAGATCACGGAAGGCCATGTTACTTGAAATAGGCCCCTTTATAAAAATTTATTCTTCCCAAGAGCTTAGAGGAACCCAACTGCAAGGCAGCAACCTATGCAAACTTCTACCAGTTTACGGCTTGAAGCCCATAGAAGCTTTTGGGGTTTTTTCTGTGTTGTTTGCAGTGAAGTTAAGTGTGGGTGGCATGTCCCCTGGGATAGGTGCACCTCACCTACACTTCTAAGAGGTCCTCCTGTACTTTGTGTGAATTATTACATTGCATTATATTATATTTATTATATAGTATTAAATTGACTTTAAAAAAAATGTAAACCTTTCTAGCAGTACTAGTGTGGAGGGAAGAGGAGGATGTGGGGGATCTTCACTGATCTTCCAGTCAGTTCCCATCCCCAGGTTCTTTCCTCCTCATAACATTTTGACTGAGAAGGAAACTTGGAGTATATATGTCCCAACTGGAGTGTATGGTTACTGTGCAACTGATAGACCAGAACAAATTCTGCAGTCCAGGAAAGAGTTTTCTGCATATACCATATATCTGTATACAGGGATAACACCCAGCTGAAACAAGGAAACTGCACAGAATGAATGGAATTAAACCCACTGGTCACTATGGGCCGGATAAGAGAGGGGGTGATTGTATTTTTTACATTTGACGAAATTTTTTTCTTTTAGTTTAATTTTTTGATTGTCACAATTTAAATGACATTACTTAGAATGGCAAAATTTAGAGATGCAGTAAATCTTCTCGTCTGAATTCACTTTGAAGTAAGAATGCTAGTGGGTTTGAAATCCAGATCGACGAGCTAATCTCTAGTTTTCCCTTCAAATGGAATTCAGCTACAAAGAGCTTGGAAAGATTTTGCATCTATTCAGGAGGCACATCTTTAATTTTCTGAGGAGCAAAAAATCCACAAGAAACTTCATATGGCTCCTTAGGTTTTGCTTAGCATATGTGATAAAACATTGATTGTTGCAGTTTGGTGACCCATGAAATTTGGGGGTTAGTTTTCTCTTCAGACCAGAGCATATAATTATGCAAATAAAGAGCTGTCACTGATCTAGTGAAATACTCTCTAACACATGCAATCCAAAATGGAACAGAAAAGTGAAATTTGTGGTATTATGATGATACAATGATAAATGACATCTCCTTTCAAGTTTTTATAGAAGTACATTTTTCACACTTTGTCGAGTACATCAACATAATGCAGACGCACACACACATGCACACACACACACATCCCTGTGAGATCGAGATATCCATGAATGTGTGCAGTCACACACACACACACATGCATCCTTCCACTCTGTAAGATAGCTCTACCCTGGTGTACGAGGGATGTACACATTCTTGGCAGGTTATTTTTGGTTTGGGTGACTTGAGAATGGTGCAATATGTGGCTCCATGCAGTTTTAGATGTGACACTTTTCATTTGTACTTCTGAATGAAATTTCTAGAGGGGAGAAATACTCCACTACCCACAGTAAGTGATGTTTCTCAGAGACAGAGGAAAAATGCACATTTCCATGAAAAAGCAGCGGCTTCTTCCGAGTCTGGGAGAATCACACTGTGAGAACTGTAACTGTAACCAGTGCGCTGCCATGTATGCACAATGAAAGTGAGGGATATCTTTGCTTCCCCCCTGCCTTTTTTCTTTCTTTTTCAACACAATCCTACTGTGTTTGGGGGCCCGCTGGCTGTTTTTGCTAGGGACATTTCTTTCTTGTTCTCCATTCTTGACAACGAAGCACTGCTTTCATTGGTCCATGGCTTTAACGGCGGCATTTTGACTTGGATAATGGTGTGCAAACTTTTTGGGTGGCAAGGATCTAGGAGTTTTCCTAGATCCTGTTGTAGGGTCAGTTTTGTTGGTTTTCTGTTGTTGTTTTCCATTTGGGGGTTTGTTGTGTTTTTGGGCTTTTTTTTCCTGTTCACTTTTGAATTCGTAGCTCTAAAGCTACCTAGGGCAGAGGCTGGTGCACCATGTCACACGTCATGGAGCTTTGCTGTGATGAAACTAGGAGGCGGTCGATGTCAGATCTCTGTCTCCTAAAGACATCATGGCCTGAGGGGCCACTGGTGTGCATCTTTAAAAACATCAATCCAAAGGAATAGGCTAAATCAACACTCATCCCTCCTTAGTGTGCTGCAGTGTTACCATTGTCACCTTTCCATGTGACACTAATGTGGTGGCACATGCTGGGGTGTTCCCACACCTTCCTCTCTCTCTGCAGACCATGCACCCTCTTCAGCTGAGGCTGCAAACACTGCCTCCTCCGTCTCTAGCCCATGCTCCTTGCAAAAGGCCCTCCCCAAAAAACTGCTCAAACTCCTCCCTTGGTGTAACTTTATGGTTTCATGTTTCTGAACAGTGAAGGGGACAGGATGGTGCAGACCACTTCGCTATGTGGCTTCCTATGGATGATGTGGGGTGTGTGGAGAGAAGCCCATGCGCATGTGGGCTGAGCCACAGGGCTGGACATGCAGCCCACTCCATGGAACAAATGAACCTCAACCCCCTCATACCTTCCAGCCCCAACCCTGCAACCATATGGGGTCCTGTTTGCAAACATACTTGCCCCTCCGGCTTGTATTCTGAGGTTGGTGGAGCTACTGCCCATGCAGCCCCCACCCTACCCACCAGAGACAGAGGCTCTTGTGGAGCTCAACACAAGGACACAAAGTGCGCAAGAAGGAGAGAAGAGAGCATATTTATTTATTGTTCATTGCAAGCAGAGCAGTACCAGTGGTGAGGATCCCCTCTGCTCTACAGCCCCCCCACAGGAGTGATAATGTGAGCTGGGCCCAGGGCACAGTAAAGAAAAAATTTTTAGAAAATGATAAGCATTACAGTAAAAATGTAGTTTGTTTCTTGTCAACAGTTAAAAAAATAGATCTGCTCCTCCAATATTTGGGCACCCTAGAGAGTCCATCTCACTTCCATAGAGATGGAGAGTGGCAGGTCTGGTGTGTGCATGTGCAAACTTCCCTGGCCTCTGCGTCTTCCCTGGCTGCGGGATGAAGCATGGACAGCCAAACCACACCATGTAAACGCTTGCCTTGTCCCTGAACACACAGGGTCCAGGGGGCTGGGGTAGACACGGACCTGGGGAGGGGGGGTTCCTAGACCCCCACGGGGGGGTCAGGCTGGCCACAGGCAGCAGCATCCTCTGACTGGGAGCGAGGGCAGAGACTGGACGCCACAGGAATATGGGCACAGTACTCTCACTTCAGCAGCAGGCCTCCATCCAGGCAGAAAATCCTCCAGGCACAGATACTGCACTTCACTCCACAGAGGCAGTGGCCCTTCCAGGGGTTTGCTCTTCCCCAAGGGCAGAGCTTAAACGCAGCAAGATGACAGGAAGCAGCAGCTGAGGAAGTGAAGCCCTGCTGCCAGTATGAGCAGGTAGGGATGGATGTAAGCACTCTTGGTGCTGAGAGCCCCCCACCAGGAGGATTTAGGCCCAAACCCAGCTGGGTTTCCCTTTACACATCACTATGAGCGCTTCTGCTTTTTCTCCGTGGCATAGAAGGGTACCCCTGCTTTGACATTGTCTCACTTTAATGCTCCCCACCACCACTTCTGGCCCCCAGCTGTAGGACTGATTGGACACACTGCGTAGGAGAGGGCGGGACTGGGTCCAAAACTCATGTCTAAGTGGCACCTCCTTGTCACTGACAGCATCAGAGGCCAGGTGGGCATGGCCATTAAAGAAAGGACAACTTTAATTCAGTATTATCAACACCAAAGGAGCTTAATTAGAGTGCTTGCTCACTGGGCATGCCATCAAGCACATCTTTTCCCTTAGTTTTAGTGCAGAAAACCTGCCTAACACCACAGTTATGGCTACAACCACATAACACTCTATGCATGGTGTGTGTGGTGGTTTGACCAGAAATGGGATTTCTGGGATGCTGTAGTGAAACCAATGGGTGCTCAGATTTTAATATTGGCACCTGATGTGGCCATTGGGACATTTGGATCCGCCTCTGAGAACACAGGGTTAAAAGCAGGGCTCCCCCCTGGAAGGTTCTCTTTGGGATTTCTGGCGGGAGAGAGTTCAACTCCTCCCCTGACCCAGCTGCTGGGCGGAGGGGAGAGCCACGCGGCCTGGGAGAGGTGGGCCTGACCCTGAGGGGCCCAAGGGTGGAAGCATCGAAGAACTACTGAGAAGTATTCCCCCCTCCCACTTCTGGGACACAGAGACAGAGAGAGAAACAGAGCTGTGCCTGACAGTTACCTTGAAACTTGATAAACAAGTGCGGCAGCAGGCAGCACAGCTGAGAAGGAGGAAAGGGGGGGGAAGGAGGCAGCGATGTGTCCAGCCGCTTGTGGGAGATTTTAACCCCTTTGTGGACAATGAAAACTTTACAGAACATTAACCCCTCCTAGAAGAGTGATGAAGGTCTGGGCAGAGAGAGAGATGTTGGAAGAATGGAGAAGATGGAGTGGCATTTTTTGCTGGACTCTTATTTTTTGTATAGCCACGGACTGTTTCCTTGTGATACAGAGATTGCTTCCAGGGTGGACAATGCCTCAGAATCTAGAGGGTGAAAAAAACATGGGGGGGAAAAAACATCTTGATGAAAAAACTTCGTCTTTTTCATCAAGATGTCCCAAAGCTGAGACTGTGCCTTTTTGGAAGGAGACAAGGCATCCTTAAAAGGAACCTTAGAAGCAGCCCTGGTCCATGTGCAGTGGTGAGAGCACTTGGCATGGAAGGAAGACGTCACGATGGCAAAGGATCTCCGGGCAGTGCTACGTGTGACAAGAAGCCCATGGCACAAAGAAAGACTCCTTCTCCTCTTGATGAACTGAGGATTGAGTATTCTAAAGGGTGGTGCCGGACCAAGAGTTGGTGATTTGGGAGATGTATTATATTGGAATTTGGTGGGGGGAGGAGGAAAATGCTTTTGTGAAGTTTTCATTTTCCTTGTGTTTTTTTTTTCTTTCCTTGTAGTTTAGTTATTTTCTTGTAGTTTAGTTAATAAAGTTTTCTTTATTTCTTAGTAGGAGCCTGCTTTGCTTATTCCTGGTCACATCTCACAGCAGACACCAGGGAGAGGGTATTCTCATGGGGGCATTGGCATTGCAGCAGTGTCAAACCATGACAGTGTGAAATCCCTACACAGAGAGCCCTGCTGGCCAACCTTTATCAGAGAGACTGGAAAAGTGAGGAGGAACCTGTGAGTTTAGGGGAAAGGGAATAATCATGGGATGGCAAGTCATTACAAACTCAGCATATGAAAATGGAAGCATTTTTGTGTTTAACAATAAACAAAAAGAATATGCAGTGTGTCCTTTTTTTTTTTCCTGTCATATTTCACAGTGTGATCCAGCCTGTTAATGAATAGGCATTTTTTAAAGTAGAGCTTTCCAAAGGAAGAGAAGATCTACAGATAATGCTGTTGATCTAGCAAGAGAAAAACTCTTCAACAACAGAGCCTTTCTAGAATTCTGGGCCAAACTTCTTGGACACTCTTGCCAGCAGAGAAATGAGAGAGTTAGAAGTCAATTCTACTTGGTCCCAGAGAAAGAGAAGGCTACTAGGTGCAAAATCATAGGCTGGTTAACATGTTTGAGTAAGGTCCATCTTTTAGAAAAGAGTAATTTGTATTTTGTTCTGTCTCAAAATAGAAGGAAGCTGCAAAATATCCTGCAGGCAACAGGACTGCGAAGAAGCTGTTAGATTCTGGCATCAGCTTGGTGCAGGGCTATGTCAGGGCAATTAGAGCTGCACCATGCTGCACTGTGCAGTACCACTGTCAGCCTTAATCTGCACACTGATGGGCAGCACAAAATCCAAGTTACAGCCCACAGGAAGCACAACCAGTGAACCCATATTGCTTTGACAGTTGCACTCATCTAGAAATAATGCAAAACGCTATTTAGATGTATATATCACGACCCTGTGCTCTAGGAAGAAAACAATCTAATGAGGGGCTGGGAGACTCCTTGCAGAAAACAAGCAGCAAAGACATTGGTGGTGGTGGGTTTTTTTCCTCCCCTCCTTTTAGAATTCTTCGTATTTTATCCTGTTGGAGCGCCTTGTTGGGGTTGGTTTCACCAAGCTGTTCTTCGCCTTTACAGCCTCACTGAAGAATTTGAAAACAGATGGAAAACTCTTCCAAGAAGTTAGCTCATGGCGTTCTGTACCTGCAAAACACAAAGGTGGCAGTTTGACTAGGGGTCGTTCTCTGACTTGCTGGGTGTTCACAGGATAAATGCTCCGTAAAATGCAAAAATGCAAAACTCACAGAAGACACCCAGCTGCTGCAGCTGGTCTGGAGGGAGCCTCGGAAGGGTCAGAGCTGTCCTGCTGCTGAGCTCTGGGGCAGCTGACAAGAACAACTGCACACACAAGCAGACAGACATATGCACAAACATACATGTATGCACATGCACAGCCACCCACATCACAATCAGAGATCCTCAACATGTCTCGTATCTGGGAAAATAAGGTCCCAAAGCACTCTGCTAATAAAAGGTCACTGAAGCACCACCTGATCTGGCCTACCTTGGGAAAAAGAAAGTGTCTACTTTTCAGACATACTTTATATTATTTATTTTTCATTTTATACTGCTTTTAGCCTGGCATATCTGTTTTCAAGTGAAAGAGAACACTTGATCTGAACTACATCTCATGCAGCACGAAGGCATCCTTTGTGCACCTGCTCCCACAGATAATATTGAGACAGTAAAGTGGACCTTTCCTATTTGTATCTTCCCTCTGCACACAGATTTATCTCTGTATTTTATTTTGCTATATGCTTCTATTGTTTTGCAAGTGCCTTCCTCAACACATTTGCTTTATTTAAACAACCACACTCCCTCCTCCTTCCCCCCACAACCAACCCCCAAAACAAAACCAAGACAATGGAGATAGGCAGCCAAGGGGTGTGAAAGAGTTGGGACCTCTTCCTGGGTAACCCAATTATGCAGAGATGCTGCCTGGTAGTCTTTGGATCCTGGGCCTCTGTTTGATACTTTAACATTGCTAATGATAATTCTTTAGTCTGTGATAGTAGGTCATTGCTATGGTTACTCTACAATGGTGCAACACTTCACTTTCCCCTTCAGCTATTCGTTGAGACCCAGCAACCACATTTGTTGCCTAGCAACAGTTCTGCGACAGTATCACAATCTGAGGGTGACAACAATGAGGGACACAGTGGCCACAGCCTGGCAGATGGAGAGGGATGCAGTCCAGGGCGGATGATGGTCCCTGCAGGACATAGGGTGGCCATCAGTACCTGGGAATATAAGACGGCTGCTGTGGCATGGCATTTTCTGCATTCCTAGCTTCACATCCCTGTCAGAACCTTCTAGGCATCCATCCATGGAGCATCCTTGGTGGGTCCACACACACACCACACGACCCCCCTCCTCAAAAAGTCTTTGATGGAGGCACTATCTGCCACGCTGCACGTCCCTGCTCCCTCAAAGGCAGCCATCACACAAGCAAACCAACCCTCAAAAAAGCCCTCTCTAGAAAGATACTACTTCTCACACAAAGAGATGTTTTTGTACAAAGAGCATCCATGTCATGTGCACACACAGATTTTCCTCTCCCTCTTCATATTCATTGTACAGAGACAATTCATGACATCTTCCAGAAATTTCCCACATGCTCCTTTTATACAAATGCTTTCCACCTTTAAATTCACCCATCATTGTAGAAATTCTTTTTGCTGAGAGGTAGTCCATCCTATCAAGTGCTGGATGTGGCAGTGCTGTGTTGTGTTGGGCTCCATGATCCCAAGGGTCCTGTCCAACACAGAAGTTTCTCTAACTCTATCCTGCAGGTGGCTTTCAATACAGATCACCCATCCCATCCCCTGTAAGACTCCTCACAGCAATACTCGTCAAGAATTTTTCCCCACCTGGGAAACACAGAAGTGGCCCAACACAGCAGGAGGATAAAGCTTCCCTTCTAGCAAAACCTGCAGCCTAACAGACACATCCCTGAGGTTACGGCTTGGCTTGGTATACTGTGACTGCCCACTGCCACCAGGCACACAAAAGTCATCTACCAAAGCTGATTTTATGGAGGGATAGGCTGTCCTAACACACTGTAAGGACACTCCTGCACAGGCGTTTCACCTCCTTCCCAGCATATGGTGAACACCTCTTTGAGCCCTGAAGGCAAAACATCTTTCCATGTGGCTTTCTGGTCCCTACACAAATATCTCCCACACAATCACATCTTTCTCACTTCTGCCTGTCTGCATTCTCCGTCTTGATTGTCATAGTCATCATTAATATCCACTGGATTAAGATGAAAATATAGGCTGCGAATAATATGGGTTTTTTTCCCCTTCGTCTTTTTCATCAACAACCTTCCTCCTCTGTAAAAAGGTCATCCAGAAACAAAAAATGAGGAAAAAAAAAAAAAGCCAAAACAAAACAAAACAAAAGAGTAAGTTTCTGAAGCCTCCCTGTGTCTTTCTTCATCCTGCCTTCTCCCATTTTCTCATGTTCCCAAGAGAGATCATGCTCATATGCACCAGTGTTACTGAAACTGATTAACCTACAGCTTTCCTGTGGCAACTCCTCTCAACCCACTCTTCTCAAAAAACAATTCAAGCTTTGAGTCTAGAGGGACTCAATGATTCAGCAGTCTAAAGCAATTTTAACACACCCTGTTTTCCTTTTCCTAGTAACAATCTTACTGGCAGATGAACAATTTCCCTGGTGATAAAATCACTACAATGGATATTTAGTTTCCAGGATTATGATGATTCTTTGCTTGATTAATATTGCAATAAGAAAAGCTTGCTAAGTATCTGCCTTGGACCTTTACAGTCATTTCTAAAGGTCAAATTTTGCCCTTACGTATTCACATTTAACTACTACTAAAGAGAGACTCTAAAAATTTAACATTGCACACACTGTGTATTTATGATTTATATACCAAAGGCTTGGAAAATTCAACTGAAGCAAGTGGAATTATGTCCTAAGGGTGACAACAGATTTTGACCATAAGATTTTTGCCAAAGTACCATTGACAACTGCAATCTCAATTGTGTATTTAGTAGTACACAGATCTAAATTAAATGCATGAACAGTCATCTACTTTTTAACAGAAATAATAATTTTTAAGAGACAGACAATAAGAAGCAGTTGCTCTAAAGCCAAGGTCCTCTGAGACAGATATTCTTAGTGCTCACTAATTTCAACAGCCGTGATGATAAACCATGATTCAATATATTGTATTAATTGATGGGGCTGTTACACAGCATGTAGTGATTTCAGATATTAGTTCTTTGAGAAATCTTAGAAGCATGCGGCATGGAAAAGATATAAAAACCCAGTTAAGTGTGGGAAACAGCAAGAATACTCTAAAATATGCAAAGGCAACAATTGCAGAACAAAAAACTATAAATCCCTCCTAGTCCCAGCTCCACTGAAATAAATGACAGAAACGTCAAAAAGCAAACCAGCCTCCCACTTGCCAGCATGAAGAGATGTAGAGAGAAATGAATATATATTTTAACATGTGCATAACATCATTGGAAAGGAGCTCCAAAGAGATGGTGGAACCAATAATGTGTGAGGTGAAATGAGTAACAACAGTAAAAGAATGAACAAGTTCCAGAATCAGTTTACCAAGTACCACAAAGAGATATATAACTAGAAATAATGAAAACTTGACAATACAGTTGTTGATACAAAAAACCAGGTAAGGGAATACTTTTAAAAATTCAATATCCAAATTATCAGGTCTGGATGACATGCATATGTGGGTCTTCAGGGAATCAGTTAATGAACTTGCTGGACTACTGGCAATTATTTCTGAGAATTCATGTACAATCAGGTAGGCACCAGAGGACTGGGGTGGGAATGAGAAGAAACTTCTAATTTGAGAAATGGAGGATTAATTGAAACTAACTAACACACATAAAATTCATGTCTGAATACCAGTAAAGAAAGGGATCAACATTATAAAAAATCACAAGCACCTCTAGGATAACAGCAGACACAACAGGCTCAGATTTGACAAGAACAGATAAAACCCAAACTTAATTGAATAACAAAAATCAGCAGGTGAGAGACTTATTCACTGCTGTGTTTTTGACATAGGTCAACGTGGCAGCCTTGAGGCAGTGGGAACCAATGTAATCACTTAAAATGGATTATGACCCTCACTGCTCTAATGGGCTATGGTCACTCCTACCTCTCACTTGCAAATTAGTTGCTTTATGCCAGTCAAGGGGCCCCCAATCACTTGAGATCTACAGTAATGCAGCTCCCAAATACGTGCTGCCATACCTGCACTGGCTCTAGCTGCCAGCAGCATGTCCACCAGCAGCTGCAGTACACATCACATATCTACAGGGTCCAGACTCAGCATCTTGTCTCATATCTCATCTCATCCCATCCCATCTCACAGATGTCGCGTTATGCCTTTCCCCTTGTACATCATCTTGGACTCTACAAAATGGGCACTGGCACACTTTTGGATAAGTGGTTAAAGCATTTGAGAAGACAAACAATAAGAAGTAATATGGGGTTGGAAAGATACCTATGAAGTCCCAGAAGGATTGGTATTTGGGCTCAAGTCTTTTAAATGTGGTTTAGTTAGTACAAACATAGGAGGAAACAAAGAAATAATAATCAAAAGGCCAGCCTAAATGGGTAGGAAAAACAGGGAAGAGGAAAAGCAAAGACTGAAACTGGGAATGGTGCCTGCAGGGGTGGTAATGCAATATGACTATGTGAATGATCCTGATGGCCATTTGCACACACACATGCAAAGGCACTTTCACTGTCTTTCCTTTCCACTTCCATTCAGGAAAAGCAGCTCTTCACCTAGCAAGGCTGACAAATTCCTCCATCTGAAAGCAGAGTGTCTGGAGAGAGAAGAGCTCTGCAATCACCATAATTCGCTCTTGCAGAGCGATTACTGGCTGTGCAGGACAAAGGTGCCCTCCTACAGTGCCTGCCCACTGTGTCAGACAAAAGCCTCCTCCCGCGGTGCTCAGAAGATGCACAGCACAATGGTGGCCCCCCACCGCGTTTACAAGATGTGTGGGACAAAGGTTTCCTGCTGCACAGGAGCTGTGAGAGATCTTCATACATGCCTTAGTGCTGAAATATTTCTGCAGAGAAAAGTTTCCAGGTTGAAAAGCTTCTCCACAGATACTAGCCACAGG